TATTTAATTTAAGGTTACACCCCTACATATATACACACTTACACACTTAAGCACTACATAGATCACTGGTTTTGCGCAGATTACTGCTCCCACCACTAATAATTCGATTACCACACTACACACTAACAGGTTGGTCAACCAAGAAGGCAGATCATTGGTAAAAGGCCTGTGGTGACCGGATGAAGTATTTCACTATTTAATACCCTCGAACCGTATACACGATAATATTCAATAAACTCATAATGACTACTAAAAAATATAAACCTTCGTTAAAATGTCACCTAAAATCATTTATATTCGAACATTGCCAAAATTTCTACATTATAAATCGAAAAATAAATTACAAATTTTTGAGAAAAGAAATATCTTCTAAAGTCTTTAAATTGATATAAATTATCATATACTTTTCAAAATACATGTATGAATGAACAATTAAAATTTTATACCATTTTAAAATTTACTTTACTTTGTTTTACAAACAAAATATTTTAGAATAATTTTCAATAATTTCCTATGGATGATTTTTAAGCTGTTGGAAAAATTTTAATTATTGTTGAAATTATCTAAATTAGTTACTTACATTTACAATAACACCGGCCATTGGAAAAACTCTGGTAGGAGGTGATTCTTTTGGCACGTACCGATAAAACTCTTGATCTCTGAGGTACCATTTTATTGAATACAAAGCTTGTTTTTCTAAATCATATGTGCAATTCAATTTTAATGTCGATCCAGATTTTACTGCATCAGGTGTATTGATTTTCAAATTTTTCACACAGGTGCAATCTAAAATAATAAAATATAAGAAATAATAATTTTTTTTGAACTTGGTTTAATTATTAAGTTTACTGTGAAATTTTTGAAAACGTTTATTAGATTATACAGAGTGATAGATTCGCAATTGACCACTAGATTTCTTTTAAAATAATTATAATTTTGATGAATATTTTTTTTGTATTATTTAGTAAAGTGTTTCTGGATTTATAAATTGTTATTAAATATTTTTTAATTTAACTTGTTATTCCTTATAAGGTAATCAACTTAAGTTTAGCTTCGACGTGAAGCTAAAAAGTATTTATTTTACTATGATGTGTTTATTATTGTTTATTTTGGATGTCAATGACACTAAATTATTTATAATTGAAGAAAATTCAATGTAAAATTACATCTTTAGAATAACCTTGGCGAGTATAGTAAGTGATAAAGTAAAAAATTGTCTTTATAATTTATTAAAACTTAATTAGAACGACTAAAATAATACTTAAAGATAAAATAATAAAAATTTTGACAATAACAAGGAATATTAACAATAAAAATAAAAGTGATAAATATGATCTTCCTTTTTTTATAAGTTATTTTGATTTTATGGTACGGTTTCAACTTTACGGTCTTGAAAACGATTATTATGTGTTAATATCACTTTTTCAGGATTTGATATTAATATTTGATTAGTATCTGGATGATAAATGAATCCTAATTCTCTATTCTTCTTTTCTATAGACCAATCAATAATTTCATTAATTGATTTATGGAGGAAATTGCATAAAGAGTTCTTCGGTTCATTTTTAATTTTATGTTTATTATTTAAATTGACCCATATTGAATCCAAATTTTCTGTGTCTACATTACAATATTGCGACATGACCACATAGACATCATTTAATATTTCTGTAAAAAACTGATTACAGTATACTAACATATTTTTATAGGAATTCGGATCATTTGGTGAAAGAGATGACTTCTTATACATTTCCGGTATTTTTTCTAAATGCATAAATATTTTGCTGAATATATAATTGTTATATTTACTTTTATACCATGGAATAGTGTGTAAGCTTTCAATAGCGTCCATAGCACCTTTCATTTTCGTTTTCATTGGAACTAAATTGTATATAGTGTCTAAAAATACTTCAGTACAAATGTGTCCATAAGTTTGGTCTTCGTCTTTTTTCTCAACATATTCCTTGCAGTGATCAATAAATTTAATGATAATGTAGAAGATTTTCTTTAAAGTATTACCATATGTACATCCAAGAAACAAAGTTGCAACACGTATAGAAATATTACAATTTTTTTTCTCGATTGGTTTCTTGAAAAACATCTCTATAGTATATGGTTTTTTAAAATAAATAACGTTTTTAAAGTCTTTCAAATCTTGCCATCTAGGGTTTTTAAAGAATTTATTTAATATATCTGCGTGTTTTTTAATGTTGTGGTGATCAGCATCTACGCACAATATTAAAACAAAAATTAAAAAGTTCATTTTAATTATTTGAAGACGTGTCATATTTTATTCACTTTATTTTTGCCTTTAATATATATTTTATAAAAACTGAACACTTGTATCACACATTTCTTATTTTTATAAATTTAGTGTTGACATTTATACGTATATTTAATTTATAATTTTTAGTTACATAAATTGTGTTTATTCTTCACACAAATTTTATTTAGGATAAATAATATTACAATGTAGAACTAAACTCAGTGTCGGAAGGGTCATGTATGGGCTAACGTACTTGAAATGCCACTGTCCTCTACTACAATCTATTGGAATTCACCATGAGAAGGGGGTTATCTGCCATTTTTTTAAAAATTGTATGGATGTTAGGGTAGCTTCGTTAGAGGCAGCAATAAGCGATCTATAATACCAAAAATTTGGCCTACAGAAATTTTTAACACTTTAACACAATTTTTATTTCGTGAAACTAAAAAATTATTAATTTTACTATGATATTATATTTTTTGTGTATATCATCACTTTTTATTAGCTCTCAGTAGACTGATTTTTTTTTAACGATACGTCCTAAGATCGTAGAAAAGTGCTTTCAAGTTGAACATATTACCCTCAACATTTGAAAATTTTTTTTTCATTTCTCGTAAATGTGAGTAATCTTCAACAAATTTATGATTTTTAAAATCGTTTAATTTCAATATTTTTTAAAATTATTAATAAAGCGTTATATTATAATTAAATTAGTTATTTTTCTTTTACTTGAGATATTTTTTTTGAAAATCTGTCCACTTATAGGGGAGATTCAAAATAGGAAGTTTTGTATGAAAAGTTAATTTTTTAACTAGTATTTTGGAAATTATGAACATTTATATACCTGATTGGGAGTAGTACAGAGTTATTGGGAAGAATAATAATTGAAATCACATTAAAAATACATAAAAATAATCTAAATAACACCTCGCCACCATTGTGTATGGTCCTAAAAAAATGCGAACCAATAAATAGTTTTAAAAGTATTTAAACAGTTTTTTTACCACAAGGTATGTTTAGAGTTTTTTCATGGGGTAATGGATATATGTTGCTATAATTTTCAGACCTCGTCTTAACACACGTAATTATTTTCATTACGAGTAGTCGAACGTCTACCCCCCAAGGCATTAGACTTAATAAATTACATTTCGTAACACTTTGATGAGTTTATCCTGCAAAATTTTCAGGATAGAAATTGTGCGCGAGGAGTTCATAACGACTAATGTATGATCATATTTTAAGGTGACTCGATAAAAAACGTACAGCCGCCGATCTTTGGTATTGTACGTTATTTTTATAACCAGCAGGTGTACCTCTACGCGATTGCGCCTAAGAAACTCTACACGAGCCACCACGACGCGAGAGTGTATTTCATTAGCAACAGTGCATCACTATGGCCGCAATTGACATAAGGACATTCCACTAATAATACTGTATTTCAGTTGTGGCCCATTGGCCTATTCGTGGCCACATTTTGGACACCGTAAATNGGCCTATTCGTGGCCACATTTTGGACACCGTAAATTATCAGTGCACTAAACATTTTTGGATCGATATAAATATTTTATAACAGATTTGAAAATCTTGTACCAGCGATTTATAAGGATACATAAGAATGTATGTATGAGATCATCCGTCCGAGTATCGCGAAGAGGTCTCCTAACGTTTTTCAAGCGGCCATTAATATCATAAATAAGAAGATGCCAAAAATGACATCACCTGACGATGATTCCCATAAATTCCTGTTTGAATGTTTTAATTTTCATCGAAACTCTGTACTACTAAGTCTTAAGTCATCTTATGATGCTTTTACGTCATGCAATTCATTTATTTGTCAAAATCTTAAGATAAGTCATTGAAAATTCTCAGAATCAGTTTAATAAACCAAGTATAAAATGTCAACAAAAATAATTTAATTTCAATGGCGGTAATAATAATGTTTTGCAGACTGTAAAATTATATACGGGGTATGTAAGGTAGTGCATATAAATTAATTAGTTTAGCATTTCTCGATTCTTAAAATTTTTGTATAAGACAGTTAAGGTATTGGTTTTGAAATTATGTTTTTTCTTTTAGCAGTAATCACAAACATGATTTGTTAAAGAAATTAAAAAATAAGTTTCCTATTGAAATTATAAAGCAATACAAATAATATTTGCCTAGTTATAGCGGTTTCTTTAAATGTTACGAAGAAAAATAAGTTTTTTATCGTATTGATTTTACATCTAAATTCGTACAATGTTAATTTTCCTAGTAGAAATTGAAATGAATAAATGTAAAACATGATACAATGTACCGTATAACCGAGTATATGATTTATTAGCTAACAAGCGAAATACTATTATGTGTGCAATTCATTATTTATTGCTAATAACATAAGTAGTATTGTCCAAACGACAATGGTTTGAAATAATAAACCTCAACACCGAGGTAGTCCATTGTTTTTGTCTTGTAAAGGTATGCTAAATATACATAGAACAAAGTTTGATTTATGCGTTTATGCTGAACCGATGTATGAGTATATGAAAATAAATAGGCCCCTTTGGGTCTTGCTTCATTTACCTGGCCACTAACAATTTTTTTAATCATATTATCACCACTATCAAAATTATTCTTGCCATCACTAACCGTTGTTTTTGACTGCACATGACATCCTCCATACAGACACATCGACCGCTTAAATAAGCTTTTTTTTTTCTTTGTCGTTTAACGAAGAACGTTTTCCAATTGTATGTGTTTACTACTTGTTTTTTATTTCTAAGCCCCTTGCGCCGCATGTCCTTGACATGGGGATGAATTATTATCTCACCAATGCTATAAATTATCCTGTGCAAATATACTTCACCATCGCTACTGAGGAGGGTAATAAGTGTAGTAGTGTGTGTAATTATCATAAAGTAAATCGCAAGCGTTGTTGGAATAAATAGCCTCCGGTACCGCGACGCATATTGGCTAGATACGAACGAATACGATATACCTAAAGGGGAGCAGATTGTCCTTGCAGCTTCTATCTTTCTTCGTGTGTATCTCTATTATGCCGTACATTCACATAGGAGTAATTAAAAAGACTTATTGTACTGCAACTCATTACTCATTTGGCTATTGTTTCTTATAGGTAATGTATGTGTACTGTTATTCGACTCACTTTACAATTTGTATGCATTATGACGTAGAAAACGTTGTTCGAAAATTAAAAAGAATAATTTAAACCCAACAGGACATACCAATCGAAATTTTACTTTTTTTACTCGCTAATGTAATGTATTTGATGCGATTGCCAAAAATACTACAACTAATTTGAAATAGTTGATATGATCTGTTGATTTTATCAGTGCAACATAAAAATAACACTTTTAGAATAATAAAAGAAAAAGTGATTATTTTCTTTTTAAATTCATTCGAATTGTTTTTATGCATTTGAAAATACTCATTGTCATGTTTGTTATATAAATATTTAAGGTAATCCCCAGATATTTATTAAGTAAATTTAATATATAAACACATATTTATAGTATATTTCAATACGCTGGTATTTATTTTTATACAAATTCAATTATTTTTATTAATAAAAAGTTTAAATAGAAAAATATTGGTAAAAAATATAAGAAATTTCTATTAAATTTAATTTTTTTAACTTAGTTATGCAAGAGAACATTTATTAAATGATATAAATAAAAACTAGCGTTTCTCACTACATATCGTATTTAATAATAGTTACATTAGTTTAACAGAAATATAATTGAAATATTTTGATAGATATTTTCGTAAATGCTACGGAGAATTTATATGATTTTAAAATGAAATATGATTAATGTGACACTAATAGTATAAGAAAATTACTTTTTTGGCGTATTTACACTATTGATATATTTATGCTATCTATAATTATGGTCTTATATCGAAGTTTTTTAATTGGTAATAAAATAGTGAAACTTCAATTTAAGTTCATACTTAATATTTCTTTATTTAACGAATTCCAGTATATTACTAGTGGTTTTCTTTATATCAGAGAAGAAATTTTACTGCAATCAGTTACTGCTCTAAGATGAAGTGTTTTTAAAGTTGTCACAGAACTGACATATTACACCACATATATATTTTAATTAATTATGTTACATATATACATTGTATGTAAACAGAACTAATATATACGTGACTTTAAAAGTTCAGTTGAGCTCTACAAAGAATTAAGTTAAACTTCTATGAACGAAAGATAAAGTTTAAAGTGTGCGTATAATTATATTTTACATTTTATGTGTTGATAAGGAATATAATTTACCACCTTGAAACAATTCATTTAGAAATTAAAAATTATGACTCAAATTAATTTATTAATTTTCACGAGTTTCTTAGAATTGTATACATAGCTTTTTCATAAAAAAATATTTTACAATTTTTATTGAAAAAATGAATTATTACAACTGTTACGACTTAACTACATAAGAACAGAGTAATGCAATAGTCAAATTAACTAACAACGATTATACGGCGCTATAATAAAGTAATATAAACTTACAATGTTGACAAATTGTTTTGATTGTTCTTGAAAAGTACGTCGAGTCACTTTAACTGAAATGCATTTAACTCGTTATTTAATACACTTGGATTGCCTTTCTATGTTAATAAATTAAGAGACGCGCATTCACTGATGAGAAAAAGAATAACATTTAGTTAATACTCATTGAACTATAAACAGGTGCTATATTTATTTTTAATGATATTGGTTTAGGTTGAATGAACATTAAAAAAAGTTTCACAAACTGTTTTGAACTATTCAAGAGCGCTTTCCTTTAAGAAGCGATTTATCCCAGTTGATTATGGTTGTTGGCCAAACCCGATAACTAATGACTTTTTAAGTGAATTTCAACACTACGTCAATAACAGTCTATACCTAACACACATTTCAAAACCTAATCATTTTCTTTTGTGCGAAATGCTTTTACGGTCGTCACTTATTAGATTTTTCAGTAGCAAGTTTAAGCTACCGTATAAGGGGAACACTAAAATCTTTCATTCATTACACTGGAACTAAGTCT